ATCTTTGAAAAACACAGATACCCCTGAAAGCATATTACCAAGATCACACAATTTTATTTATAAAATAAAAACAACCATTAAGGGGACACTCATAGTTCCAAAAGATAACTGGGTTTTTTTATTTACCACATTACCTCTACTCACTAAACTTCACTCATTCTCCATATTCAAACCTTTGAAGCAATCCATTTATCCACACCAAATCAACCACTAAAACAAGTACCTCCAGCAAGCAGGCCTATCCCTGGATATGACAAGAACCCTCGAGCCCGAATAATCAAATGAAGGCGCGTACATATCATTCGGCCCAATAATCTCCTTCGGTTCCCGCATGCATCCCGAATCTTCTGACGACACATCATCCCTCAAGGAGTCGAACACAAACAATCCAAGCCCACAAACTCCCATCACAAGGCTTGCATTCCCCCACACTTGTGTTGGGGCCGTGAAGTGATTATGAACACTCGATTCTGGTAAAGTGTATGTGCTCATGAGCCTCGGCTTGCGCAAGGAGAATTGTAGGATTTGGGAACAAGGCTGTTGTTTTTTAAGGGAGGGATTTGAATTATTCTGGCAACCGATATATATGGAGTCCCCACGGGAAAAGGCAGATTGTGCATCTAGCCCAGTTTTGGATATCTTGAGAGCAATGCCTGACGGTTTCCTGAAATCGAGCACGCAGATGGAGTCTGACGTGCAGAACACGCCATCATTACCTTCAGCTTCAGATGAACTTATTCTGCAAGGCAAAGTGTTACGGGGAATCAACCAAATAAAAAAAAAAAAGACAACAATAATACCCAGATTGGAAAATGGAAATTCCTGCATCTTAAGCATGCTAGAAATCACAGACAAAAAATTAAGAATCAAGGCCATTATTAAGACTATGAAGATAGAATGTCATAAAAAACATTTTTCTTTTTGCCAAATAAACTCAAATGTATATCAATCAAAACAAAATATAACAATAAAAAAAAATAAGAACACGTAGTTGCATACTCAAAATAAAACCAGATTTGCCAAAACAGAGTAAACAAAGAGCTTGAACCATTTTAAATAAATTATTTCCAATTTAATATGTTCCTCTTACCTCTGCCTAACTCCTCCCCCAATTTCGGCATCACCATTATTCACATGAAGAGCTAAAATCCGGCCAGCGCCAGACGAGACCGACATCAAAGCCCGCGAATCAAGAGAGCCCACATCCCACAAGCAAAGGCCATCCGGCACAGCTATCACCACCTTCCCTTTATTCCTCCAGTGCAAAGGGCCCGAATAATCCATCCCCAGCACTGGCTTCGGCAACTCCCACCTCATCACTCTATCTCCATCACGGATATCAAAAATCTGCACAACTTTCTCGCAACTGGCAGCCGACATTATAAGGGGCCCACATGGCGTGTACCACCACTGACGGCTTTCACTAGCCGTGAAATGGTGATCTCTTCTATTATACATAGTGTTGTTCGGTAAGGGGGCTAAAGCTGTTCTTGCAGTTACTGCTCTTGCAGTTACAGGGATAGTTTCATCCCCAAGATGGAAAGCTCGAATGTCTTTAGTGTAGAAATCCCACGAGCAAAAGCCCGAAATCAGAGAATTTCCAGCCGAGGCAGCTACAACGTATTTTCCGGAACATCCATCAGCACTTGGTGCCCGGATCAACCAACAATCACGCCACGTATATGGCAAGATTCCAGCGGGAGGTTTGTACAACGCTTTCTCCTGGATTGGATGATTTAAAAATAATAATCAATCTCTTGGATTAGTTATGGAAAGATTGGGAAATTTTCCATTTCCCGTGTAATTATGTAATGTGGCAAGGTTGGTCCTTATATAAATTGTCCCATAAAACATGTTAACATTTCAAAAACTCACAAGAGCAGACCTCAATCCACGGGAAAATTTTAAAATGACCTAGGCAAACAGAGGATTTTTTTTTTTAATCTCTAGCCAAAAGTTATGCTTCTGGAATATTGCAGATAAAATAGGGGGATTTAACCACTTTACCAGCATTTACATGTGAAAAAATCCGAATTCATTTTGTTGGATACATAATATCACTTTTTCTAGGTGCGTGCTTTCAAGTCTATCAGATATTTTGGGCAACTTCAGAATTTCCTAAGAAATGAGGGCTGAATCTAAGAAGCTTCCAATTAAGTTCCAGACAGAATTTCAGAATTACAAAATTCGGTCTCTCTAGTTAGGGGGCTTAAATTGCAACTTTAAGCCAAAATAATTTGGTGTAAGTGTGTAACTGATCCATCCAGCTAACAGCTAAAAAATACAGGAACAGAACATGAAACTCAAAGCACAATTGAGAAGAATACACAAATTAAAATTCATACTGACAACTGACAAGTAAATACAGATTCCGAGTGGATCAATTGAGCCCATACCTCACTGTTGGCAACATCATAGAACGAACAAGAGCCGTCATCATGAGCAAGTAATACAGACTCTCCCTCTGACACAAACCATCCTCCAGTCGAAATCTTGCTTCCAATATCACTCAACTCATGCACACAATTCTCCTCAATCTCATTATCAAACATCATAGTTGCCTTTTTATGTTGACTATCATCAAAGTCCTCGAGATTTTCATCAGCCATAAGTAAAGAGTCGATATTCTCATTGCCATTCAATACATTCATAAACGAACTTTCTGCAGCAAATATCACCGTGTCATCCCCTTCATGAACTTCACTAACCTTTGTTCCCTTCTTACTCAAACAAGCATCAAAGGAAATTATGACTTTACTATTATGCACGTCAGGTTCTATCTTTGAGATTTTCCTATCTCTGATCAGCTTATCATGAGGAAACAACCGCCCTTCCAATTCATCAACATTCATACCATTAATAAAACTTTTGGCATTCGTTGAATCCTTCTCAGCTTCACCATTCTCAGCGGAGACCATGCTGTCATCCCCATTGCGCTCCACAACACCCATTGCCTTCTCGATTCCAGAAATCTTTTCATGAATGCTAGACATTATCATTTTGGAAGTATCTGAATTAGTACTATCTAGCATCTCTTTAGTCTTCTGTATTTCAGAGGCTATCCTCTTCACTTTTCCTTCTAAAAATGCAAGCTTTTCATGTAACTTGCTGGGGTACTTGGAAGTCGCCATTTTACAATCTCCTGATCTCGAGTCAGCCTCAACTCTGACGCTCGAGGATCTTAAATTTGAAGTGTTTATAGCTTCTACTGTACCGGGATTTAGTACAGCAATGGAGCTCAAATTCCCCTCTTTCTTCCTGTTACCAGCATTTTTTTCAACAAGAATCTCGGATTTACCGTGACTCCCCAAATCACTTGAAACCCTGTTCCGAAGATTATATTTTCGGACCGATTGTTCAGTCCAAAAAGAAGTATTTACCTTCTTCTGTGGTGGACCCAAAGAAGCCCTAGAGATATTCCTCGAATCTGATAAACCCCTAGTTAACTGATATGGGCTGGAGCTCCTACCTCTGGGCACCGACGAGGAGGACTTCCGGACACGTGGATCTGCGTGAGACTCCTCAACAGCGGACTTGTCGATCCGGGCCATGGGCTTCTGCGTCGCGGCTCGAATCCTAGATGTGGGCCTGGGGTTCTCCTTCCCTGTCGACATGGCCTTCCCAGCAAAAGGGGAGATTTTTCCGGCGGCGGCGGCGGTTCGTTCTTTCACCAGTCGAGCTGATGATGTGGACATTTCGTGTCTTCTCTTATTTGGTGTCGTTTTGATGAAATTGATGCCCTAGGGGATTTTAGGTTCTCAGCGGGCGGGAAGAGAGAAAAATTCATTTGGTTTTGAAAAGATTTGAGAGGTTAGTGCACACTGCCTTCTTTATTTGGCAAATCGATATTTACAGCATTTTCTACCCGGAAATCGCTTCATGGTATCTTTCCATTATCTTAGCTTATTACTAGTTAGTATGATCATGTCTATTTGCACATATATAAAATACGTTTTTGTTTATATTTATTAATTCGACATGTACTTCTATCATATAAAAGTTATTATTTTTTCTAAAGTTATTTTTATTATTCAAAACTAATTGAGATTTAAATTTTATTTTAACTATTCAACGTTTACATTAGTAACATGAATAAAATAATTTATATATTTGTGGCATATATTAAGAAAATTAACATAAATAAAAAAAATATTGGTGTTTCTGATTTTTAGAAGAAAAAAAATATGTGTCAATCATATTTTTCTTCCAACAATGCAACCAAATATAGTGGTTACAACTCTGAATGTGTCAATCAACTTTAAATTTCAATATTAGCCGTTACACATTTGAATATTTTGCTACTAAATTTAAAATTAATTTAATAACTGGTCCAAAAAATAAATAATAAAAATATATATATTAAGGTGTAACGGTTTTAACAGATGTGAGTAATTAAATTAAAAAATGTAACTTTTTTTTGAAGGAAATAAAAATAAATTTTATTAAATGCATCAACTAATAATTATATATATATATAGATGACAAACAAAATGCAATGATGAATGCATAACTCTATTATTAATATGGAAATAACTAGAAACATCTTTTTTTTTTCTTTTTTTTTACGAAACAGTAAAAAAAACACATAATTATATCTAAACGAAAGCCAGAGTTAGCCAAACAACCGCCTAACTGAATCTAGTAATAGAATAACCCATAAAACAACCTAGACACCACAATGGAGTAACGATAATAATAATACAACAACTCTAAAAAAGAGAATAAATACGCAAAGCTCCCAAAGAGAGAATCAACACACAAACAACCACAAAACAAACAACACAAAGCCCTCCCAACAATCGGCAACCGCTCCAACACAACACCGCACAAGACGAGAGCCAACAATGACACCTCCAAGACAGACCAAAGGTCATGACGCAATATATCCACTCCCTTCCCCCAAAGATGACTTGCTAACATAGATCCACCCCAAACGAGCCAAAGACCAACTCGGAGCCGCACTCGGAAGACCCACACCAACTCCTACCTCCACACAACCCCGACTAGAGCCCTCAAAACTGACCGAAAGGCTCCAGCCAAACGGAAAGCTCCATCTCAAACCCCAGGAGACGTGGCAAAACAGGGGGTGGGGTCAGCGTCGGCCACAATCCTACCTACCGGAGGCCCGACGGACTGAACACGCCGCCCCGCCCTCACCGCCGGAGAGCCGCCCTAAAACACCACCACTGTCGCTTAAACCGAGGGGAAGCGCGCCGTCGGAGAAGACAAGCTCAATAGAGGAAACAAAGGTGGATGCCACGCTTGGGCCGATCATCTCTGCGAGCAATTGGAGCGTCAGCTAAAAGGAGGCGGCCGTAAATAGAAGAAGGCGAGGGTTTGAAGGATGAATTGGGGTTTTGCAAATTGCGAAATAATGAGAAACATCACTGTTGCCCGTTGGTTGTTTTGATCTGATTCCAAAATTGAGTAAATTTCAAAGAAATAGTATGTGGCCAACAAAAAAATAAATATAAATAACTTGAATTCTAATTTGTGGTATATGTTAAAAGTTATAATACACCACCACTTTATTCACGTGAATAAAAAAATCCTATATAAATATTTATATATTATTAAAATTGTTCTCAATGTTAAACCATTATGGATTTGATTATTTGAGCTACATTATATTTATCATAACAAATTATTCTTAAAATTGAAATATATATATATATATATATAAAGATTTGATTATTTTTAAAATAGTAAATATTTTCAGCCAAATAAAATTCTATTTACTATATCTGGAAATAAATCAATCAATATATGTTATAAAGTGTGAGAATTTATTTTGATATTTGATGATCTTTTCTATGGAAACTAAATCAATCATATATGGTATAAAGTGGCGAATTTATTTTGGTATTTGATGGTCGTTTATATAAAAAATAAATTTATTCTTAAAATCAACACCATCAAGCAAGGCCAGAGGACGGGCAATTTTGGATATTTGACAGAAAAGGAAAATTCTTTGTATCCAGCAGCTACTCTTTCCTATCGCATCAGAAGCTGCTTTCACTTGATATTCCCTGCAGCAGTTCAACCAATGGACTTGCTCACAAAAAATCAGGTAACAGGTATTTGAATTTGAATGTGGCTGGCAAAGTAAAGCATTTCATTTGGAAATGTCTTACTGACTCCCTACCTATTAAAACAAACTTGAAGAAAATAAGACTGGAAATTGACATCTTGTGCAAGAGCTGTGGGGAATCTCCTGAAATAGTGGATCATGTGCTATTTCACTGTCCCAGAGCAACTAGATTGTGGGAGATTTCACCTGTCAAATGGGAAGGCTTGCAGTATAAGAATTTCTCTTTCAAGTACTGGTGGAACCATATCTGCACCTTGGGATTTACAAAGATTGCTGAAGCAAGGATTTAGTTAACTACTTATATGCTTTAGTGGCTCTAGAAATCTAGAAACTTATGGCTCTTCCAAAATGTTCTTCTTCCAGTGCACTTGGTGGTCAAAGCAGGGCATAAGGATTGGCTGGAATTCTCCTCTTTGGTTCATTAAATAGCTTTGTATTGGTTTTCTGTTTTCTTATTAGTTAGTTTGATTTTCTCTTTTTTATATTTGGTATTAGTCTGATGTGTATTGTTGACCACCCTCTGGGCTTTATGGCAGTGGAGGGTCTTTAGCTGAGTTGATTGTTTCTATCAGTGTGTCATGGTGTTCTAGGCCGCCTTGGGCGTGTCCTCCCAGTCTTTTATTTGGTCGTTGACTCTGTATTAGGACTTTGTCCTCGCTTTTTGATTAATAGAACCTCTATTGTTTCGTAAAAAGAAAATATATAGGGTATAAAGTGGAAGAATTTATTTTGGTTTGATGGATTTTTCTTTCTTTCTTTCTTTCTTTTTTTGTGTAAGAAATTTGTTAGGAAATTAATCAATATATGGTATATATTTTTGTCTTAAATGTGCAAGCCAATATATTGATCTTTTGGCGTGGGTCTCAATTTTCATTTCAATTTTTTGTATGAAATTACCATAATGAAATTACCGTAACTCCGACAAAATAATATGAACGATTATTTTGATATAATGTGCGTGTCTCGATGTTTTTTGTTTTAATAGAAAATACTGTGGACAATTTTGTATTTGTATAATCAGTGGGTCTCGATTTAAATCATTTCTTGTTATGACATTTCAATTAATATATTTATGTGAAATGCATTGTTCAATGTTTTGACATGATAAAGAGTGTCGATTTTTTTGGTATAAAAATTCTGAACAATAATATCCCTGATTTTTTTAGAATAAATGTGTGTCTCCATTTTTCTTTTTGTAACCTTCGGTTTTGATATTTTTGTTACGAGAAATCAAAATAATAATATGACGGATATCTTTTGGTATAAATGATTGGATTGGAAGTAAAAAAATAAAAAATAAAAAAAATCACAATTGCCTTTCACAATGGCCAAATGATGAAACAACAAAAAAATACGCGAGATTTACATAAAAAAAATTGTTATTGTCGATTTGATTCAATATACCCGATATAATCAAATTAATAATAGATTAGCACATAACCAAAATATAATTATCAAAAAATCTCAAAATCAAATCTATAGTAATATAAAGAGGTTGTTGGAAAAATACTAGTAATTTTGAGTTAAAAAATGAATGGTTGACTTACTATTATAATTTATAAGTAACAAGTTTCCGAGAGACCTGTTGTCAAAAGACCTGTTGCCAAGAGACCTATTTCTAGAGACCTATACTGAGAGGCATGTTGTCGAGAGACCTGTTTCTGAGAGACCTATTTTCGAAAGACCCGTGCGTGCCGAGAGACCTGCTGCTGAGAGATCTGCTTCAGAGACACACCTGTTTCTGAAAACCTGTTGCCGAAAGATCTATTTCCAAGTGACCTGTTTCTAAGAGACTTGTTGCCGATAGACCCGTGAGTGCTGAGAGACCATTTGTCGAGAGACCAGCTTCCGAGAGACTTGTTGTCGAGAGACCCGTGCGTATTGAGAGACCTGTTGTCGAGAGACCTGTTTCTGAGAGACATGTTTCCTAGAATCCTGTTGTCGAGAGACCTGTTTCTAATAGACTTGTTTCTGAGAGACCTGTTGTTGAGAGACCTATTGCTGAGAGACCTACTATCGGGAGACATTTTTTCGAGAGACTTGTTGTCGAGAGACCTGTGCATGTCGAGAGACCTGTTTTTGATAGACTTGTTGCTGAGAGACCCGTGCGTGCGCAGTGACGTGTTGCCGAGAGACTCGTGCGTGCGCAGTGACGTGTTGCCGAGATACCTGTTACCGAGAGATTTGTTTCTGAGAGACCTATATTTGAGAGACTTGTTGTTGAGAGACCTGTTTCCGCGAGACGTATTTTCGAGAGACCATTTGCTGAGAGACATATTTCTGAGAAATTTATTTATGAGAGACCTGTTTTCGAGAGACCAGTTGCCGAGATACCGGTGCGTGCCGAGAGACCTTTTTTTGAGAGACCTGTTTCCATGAGACCTATTGTCGAGAGACCTATTTTTGAGAGGCTTGTTGTCGAGAGAGCTGTTGCCAAGACACCTGTTGCCAGGAGACCTGTTTTTGAGAGACTTGTTTCTGAGAGACCTGTTTCCAAGAGACTTGTTGCTGAGAGATTTGCTTTTGAGAGACCTGCTTCTGAGAGACATGTTGCCGAGAGATCTGTGCGTGCAGTGAGACTCGTGCATGCCGAGAGACCTGTTTCCGAGAGACCTGTTCTTGAGAAACATGTTGTCAAAAGACTTGTTGCTTAGAGACCTATTTCTGAGAGACCTGTTTCCGAGAGACCCGTGCATTCCGAGAGACGTGTTGCCCAGAAAACGGTTTCCGAGAGACCTGTGGCCGAGAGACCAATTTTCAAGAGATAGTTTCTTAGAGACCTGTTGTCGAGAGACCATTTTTTGAGAGACCTATTTCAGAGATACCTGTTGGCGGAGAGACTTGTTTCTGAGACACCTGCTGTCGAGAGACCTTTTGCGAGAGACCCGTGCGTGCCGAGAAACCTGCGTCCGAGGGACCTGTTGCTGAAAGACCTGTTTCCAAGAGACCTGTTGTTGAGAGACTTATTACCGATAGAACCGTGCGTGCCTAGAGACCTGTTGCCAAGAGACCTGTTTTTGACAAACCTGCTCGAGAGACATATTTCCGAGTGATCTATTTTCGAGAGACCTGTTGTTGAGAAACCTATTGCTGAGAGACCCGTGCGACCGAGAGATCTGTTGCCGAGTGACCTATTTTCTGAGGGACCTGTTTATGAGAGGCCTGTTTTCGAGAGAGTTGTTGCCCAGAAAACGGTTTCCGAGAGACCTGTGGCCGAGAGACCAATTTTCAAGAGATTGTTTCTTAGAGACCTGCTGTCGAGAGACCATTTCTTGAGAGACCTATTTTGGAGAGACCTGTTGGCGGAGAGACTTGTTTCTGAGACACCTGCTGTCGAGAGACCTTTTGCGAGAGACCCGTGCGTGTCGAGTGACCTATTGCCGAGAGACCTGCGTCCGAGGGACCTGTTGCTGAAAGACCTGTTTCCGAGAGACCTGTTGTTGAGAGACCTATTGCCGATAGAACCGTGTGTGCATAGAGACCTGTTGCCAAGAGACCTGTTTCCGAGAGACTTGCGCGAGAGACCTATTTTCGAGTGATCTATTTTCGAGAGACATGTTGAGAAACACGTTGCTGAGAGACCTGTGCGACCGAGAGACCTATTGCCGAGTGACTTATTTTCCGAGGGACCTGTTTATGAGAGGCTTGTTTTTTAGAGACTTGTTGTTAATGGACCCATGCGTGCCGAGAGACCTGTTGCTGAGAGACCTGTTTCCGAAAGACCTGTTGCCGAGAGACCTGTTTCCAAAAGACCTGTGATGAGAGACCAATTTCTGAGGGACTTTTTATCAAGAGACCAATTGTCGAGAGACCTGTTGTTGAGAGACCTTTTTCTAAGAGACCTTTTTCCGAGAGACCTATTTCCAAGAGACATGTTTCCAAGAGACATGTTTCCAAGAGACCTTTTGCCGAGAGACTCGTGCGTTCTGAGCGGCCTGTTGCAAATAGACCTGTTTCCGAGTGACCTGTTTCCAAGTGACTTGTTGCCGAGAGACCTGTTTCTGAAAGACTTGATTTCGAGAGACCAATAGTCGAGAGACCTGTTGCTGAAAGACTTGTTTTCAGAGACCTGTTTCTGAGAGACCGGTTTCAAAGAGACCTATTTTCGAGAGACCAGTTCCCGAGAGACCCATGCGTGCTGAGAGACCTGCTTCTTGGAGACCTGTTACCGAAAGACTTGTTTTCGAGATACCTGTTTCTAAGGGACCTGTATATGAGAAATATGTTTCCGAAGGACCTGTTGTCGAGACACCCATGCGTGCCGAGAGACCTATTTCCACGAGACTTATTTTTGAGAGACCTGTTGTCCAGAGACCTATTGCCAAGAGACCTGTGCCTGCCGAGAGACCTGTTTCTGAGAGACTTGTTTCTAAGAGCCCTATTATTGAGAAACCTGTTGCCGAGAAACCCACGCGTGCAGAGAGACCTTTTTGCCGAGAGACCTATTGTCGGGAGCCCTGTTTTTTGCGAGAGACCTGTTGCCGAGATGCCTATGAGTGCCGAGAGAACTGTTGCTGAGAAACCTGTTTCCGAGAGATCTATTTTCGAGAGATTTTTTTCGAAAGACCTGTTGTCGAGAGACCATTTTTCGAGAGACCTGTTTCTGAGAGACCTATTTACGATACACTTGTTGTCGAGAGATCTTTTTCTGAGAGACATGTTGTTAAGAGACCTATTTTTGAGAGACCTATTGTCGAGAGACCTATTTCCGAGAGACATGTTGTTGAGGACCTATTTTCGAGAGACTTGTTTTTGAGAGACCTGTGCGTGCCAAAAGATCTGTCGCCGAGAGACCCATGCGTGCCGAGAGATCTGTTGCCGAGAGACCACCATTTTTGAGATACTTGTTTTCGAGAGACCTATTGCCGAGAGACCTGTTTCTGAGAGACTTGTTTCCGAGAGACCTTTTTCTGCGAGACTTATTTCCGAGATACCTGTTTTCGAAAGACCTATTGCCGAGAGATGCGTGCATGCCAAAAGAATTGTTTCTGAGAGAACTGTTTCCGAGACACCTGCTGTAGAGAGATCTATTGCAAAGAGACTCATGCGTGCTGAGAGACTTGTTACTGATAGACTTGTTTCCGAGAGACCTTTTTCTGCGAGACTTGTTTACGAGAGACCTGTTGTCGAAAGATCTATTGCTGAGAGACCCGTGCATGCCAAAAGAATTGTTTCTGAGACACCAGTTGTAGAGAGACCTATTGCAGAGAGACTCGTACGTGCCGGGAGACCTATTTCCAAGAGACCTTTTGTCAAGAGACTTGTTGTCGAGATACCCGTGCGTGAAGAGAGACATGTTGTCGAAATACCTGTTGCCGAGAGATTCGTGTGTGACGAGAGACCTGTTGCCTAGAGACGTGTTTCCGAGAAACCTGTTTCTAATAGACCTGTTCCCGAGAGACCTATTTTCGAAAGACCTGTTTTCAAGAGACCTGTTTCCATGAGACCTATTTCTGAGAGACCTGTTTCAGAGAGACCTGTTGGCAGGAGACTTGTTTACGAGACACACATGTTGTCGAAAGACCTTTCGCCGAGAGACCCGTTGCCGAGAGACCCGTTGCCGAGAGACCTTCTTCAGAGAGAATTGTTGCCGAGAGACCTGTTTCCGAGAGACCTGTTGTCGAGAGACCCGTGTGTTCCTAAAGACTTGTTGCCGAGAGACCTGCTTGAGAGACCTATTTTCTAGAGACCTATTGTCGAGAGACTGGTGCGGCCGGGAGTCCTGTTGCCGAGTGACCTGTTTCTGAGAGGCCTGTTGTCTAGAGACCTATTTCCGAGAGACTTGTTTTTAAGAGACCTGTTGTTGAAAGACCTCTGCGTGCTGACAGACCTGTTTTTGAAAGACCTGATGCCGAGAGACCTATTTATGGGGGAATTTTTACCGAGAGACCTAATGTCGAGAGACCCGTGCATACCGAGAGACCTTTTTCTGAGATACCTGTTTCCAAGAGACCTATTTCAGAGAGACTTGTTTCTGAGAGACCTATTGTTGAGAGACCTGTTGCCGAGAAACCCATAAGTGCCGAGAGCTGTGTTGCTGAGAGACCTGTTTCCGAGTGACCTGTTTCCAACAGACTTGCTTCAGAGATACTTGTTTCCAAAAGACTTGTTTCCGAGAGACCTGTTGGCCGAGAGACCTGTTTCCAAAGACCTATATTTGAGAGACATGTTGTCGAGAGACTTGTTTCTGAGAGACCTATTTTCGAAAGACCCGTGCGTACCGAGAGACCTGCTGCTGAGAGATATGTTTCTGAGACACCAGTTTCTGAAAACCTGTTGCCGAGAGACCTATTTTTGAGAGACCTGTTTCTAAGAGACTTGTTGCCGAGAGACCCGTGATTGCTGAGAGACCTATTGTCGAGAGACCAGCTTCCGAGAGACCTGTTACCGAGAGACCCGTACGTGTTGAGAGACCTGTTACCGTGAGACCTGTTGTCGAGAGACCTGTTTCTAAGAGACTTGTTTCCGAGAGACCTGTTGTTGGGAGACCTATTGCTGATGCGTGCTGAGAGACCTGTTGTCAGGAGACATTTTTTCAAGAGACTTGTTCTCGAGAGACCCATGCATGTCGAGAGACCTGTTTTCGATAGACTTGTTGCTGAGAGACCTGTGCATGCCGAGGGACGTGTTGCCGAGATACCTGTTGCCACGAGACTTGTTTTCGAGAGACCTATTTTTGAGAGACCTGTTGTTGAGAGATCTGTTTCTGAGAGACGTATTTTCGAGAGACCTTTGGCTGGGAGACCTATTTTCGAGAAATTTATTTATGAGAGACCTGTTGTCGAGAGACCAGTTGCCGAGATATCGGTGCGTGCCGAGAGACCTTTTTTTGAGAGACCTGTTGCCGAGAACCTATTTTTCAGATACTTATTGTCGAGGGACCTGTTGCCAGGAAAACTGTATTTGAGGGACCTATTTCTGAGAGAATTGTTGCCGAGAGACCTGTTTCCAATAGACTTGTTGCCGAGAGATTTGTTTCTGAGAGACCTGTTTCTGAGAGACCTGTTGCCGAGAGACCCGTGCGTGTAGAAAGACTCGTGCGCGCCGAGAGACATGTCGTCAAGAGACCTGTTGCTTGGAGACCTGTTTTCGAGAGCCTTGATGTCGAGAGACCCGTGCATTCTGAGAGACGTGTTGCCGAGAGACCTATTTCTGAGAGACCTGTTTCCGAAAGACTTGTTGCAGAGAGACCTATTTCCTAGAGACTTGTTTTGGAGAGACATGTTGTAGAGAGACCTGTTGCCCAGAGACCCATGCGAGCTGAGAGACCTGCTGCCGAGAGACCTGTTTCCGAGAGACCTGTGTGTGACAATTGACCTATTTTCGAGAGATCTGTTGTTGAGAGACCTGTTGATGAGAGACCTATTTCCAAGAGACTTGTTGCCGAGAGACCAATTTCCAAGAGACCTATTTTTGAGAGACCTGTTGCCGAGAGACCAGTGCGGCCGAGAGACCTGTTGCCGAGAGAACTATTTCCGAGAAGCCTGTTTTCGAGAGACCTATTTTCGAGAGACTTGTTTTCGAGAGACCTATTGTCGAGATACCCATTGCTAAGAAACTCATGCGTGCCGAGAGACCTGTTGCCGAGAGACCCGTGCGTGCTGAGAGACCTGTTTCTGAGAGACCTCTTCGAGAGTCATGTTGCCGCTAGACCTGTTTCTAAAACACCTGTTTTCGAGAGAGCTGTTGTCGAGAGACCTGTTGCCGAGAGACCTATGTTTTAGAGACCTATTTTCGAGAGACCGGTTTCTGAGACACCTGTTGACGAGAGACATATTTCTAAGAGACTTGTTTTCAAGAGACCTGTTGTTAGGAGACCTATTACAGAGAGACCCATGTGTGCCGTGAAACCTATTACCGAGAGACCTATTTCAGAGAGACGTGTTTTCAAGAGACCTGTTGTTGAGAGACCTATTTTTCAGATACCTGTTTTCGAGAGACCTGATCCCAAGAGAGCCATGCGCGCCAAAAAACCTGTTGCTTAGAGACCTATGTTTGAGAGACATGTTTCTGAGAAATATGTTTCTGAAACACCTGTTGTCGAGAGACTTGTTGCTGAGAGATCTATTTCCGCGAGACCTATTTTTGAGAGACCTGTTGTCGAGAGACCTATTTCGAAGAGACTCGTGTGTGCCGAGAGACCTGTTTCCGAGAGACCTGTTTCCGAAATACCTGTTTCTGAGATCCCAGTTGTTGAGAGACCTGTTGTCGAGAGACCCACGCGTGGTAAGAGACCTTTTTATCGAGAGACCTGTTGCCGAGAGGTCTGTGCATCCTGAGAGACCTGTTAACGAGAAACCTGTTTCCGAGAGACCTATTTTCGAGAGATTGTTTCTTAGAGACCTATTGTCGACAGACCATTTTCCAATAGACCTATTTCAGATAGACCTCTTGGCATGAGACTTATTTCAGAGAGACTTGTTTCCGAGACACCTGTTGTCGAGAGACCTTTTGCGAGAGACCCGTGCGTGCCTAGAGACCTATTGCCGAGAGACCTGCGTCTGATAGACTTGTTGCTAAGAGACCTATTTCTGAGAGACCTGTTGTTGAGAGACCTATTGCCGAGAGACACGTGCGTGCCTAGAGACCTGTTGCCAAGAGACCTGTTTTCGAGAGGCCTGCTCGAGAGACCAATTTTCGAGTGATTTATTTTCGAGAGATCTGTTGTGAGAAACCTGTTGCTGAGAGATCCGTGCGGCCGAGAGACCTGTTGTCGAGTGACCTATTTTCTGAGGGACCTCTTTCTGAGAGGCCTGTTGTCGAGAGACTAGTTGTTGAGAGACTCGTGCGTGCCGATAGACCTGTTTCCAAAAGACCCTAGAGACCTGTTTCCGAGAGACCTATTGTAGAGAGACCTTCTGCCAAGAGACTCATGCGTGCAGAGATACCTGTTTCAGAGTGACCTATTTCCAAGAGACTGGTTGTCGAGAGAGCTATTTTCGAAAGACTTATTTCTGAGAGAGCTGTTGTCGAGAGACCTGTTGCCGAGGAACTTGTGCGTGCCGAGAGACCTATTGTCGAGTGAGACCTGTTTCTGAGAGACCTGCTTCCGAGAGACCTATTACCGATAGACCTGTTTATGAGAGACCTATTGTCGAGACACTTGTGCGTGCCGAATGACCTGTTGGCTAGAGAATTGTTGTCGAGAGACCTGGTTTCGAGAGACCTATTTTCGAGAAACCTATTGTTGAGAGACCATTTGCCGAGAGATCCGTGCGCCGAGAGACCTGTTGCCGAGAGACCTGTTTCTGAGAGACCTGTTGTCGTGAGACCCGTTTCTGAGTGACTTATTTTCGTAAGACCCGTTTGTCAAGAGACATGTGGCTGAGAGACCCGTGCGTGCCGAGAGACTTATTTTCGAGAGACCTGTTGCCGAGAGACCTATTTTCGAGAGACTTATTTTTGAGAGACCTATTGTCGAGAGACCTGTTGCTGAGAAACTCATGCGTCCCGAGAGACCTGTTTCTGAGAGACCTATTTTCGAGAGACCTGTTGCTTAGAGACCTGTTTTCGAGAGACCTGTTTCAGAGAGACCCGTGCATTCTGAGAGACGTGTTGCCGAAAGACCTATTTCCGAGAGGCCTGTGCATGCCGAGAGACCTGCTACCCAGAAAACGGTTTCTGAGAGACCTGTGACCGAGAGACCAATTTTCAAGAGATTGTTTCTTAGAGACATGTTGTCGAGAGACCATTTTTTGAGAGACCTATTTCAGAGAGACCTGTTGGCGGAGAGACTTGTTTCTGAGACACCTGTTGTCGAGAGACCTTTTGCGAGAGACCCGTGCGTGCTGAGAGACCTGCGTCCGATGAACCTATTGCTGAAAGACCTGTTTCTGAGAGACTTGTTGTTGAGAGACCTATTGCCGATAGAACCGTGCGTGCCTAGAGACCTGTTTCCAAGTGACTTGTTTCCGAGAGACCTATTTCCAAGTGATCTGTTTTCGAGAGACCTGTTGTTGAGAAATCTGTTGCTGAGAGACCCGTGCGACCGAGAGACCTGTTGCCGAGTGACCTATTTTCCGAGGGACCTGTTTATGAGAGGCCTGTTTTCGAGAGACTTGTTGTTGAGGGACCCGTGCGTGCCGAGAGACCTGTTGCTGAGAGACCTGTTTCCGAAAGACCTGTTGCTGAGATACCTATTTCTGAGGGACTTTTTATCAAGAGACCAATTGTCGAGAGACATGTTGTCGAGAGACCTGTTGCTGAGAGACCTGTTTCTAAGAGACCTTTTTCCGAGAGACCTATCTCCAAGAGACATGTTTCCAAGAGACATGTTTCTGAGAGACCTTTTGCTGAGAGACTCGTGCGTTTCGAGCGGCCTGTTGCAGATAGACCTATTTTCGAGTGACCTGTTTCCAAGTGACTTGTTGCCGAGAGACCTGTTTCTGAAAGACTTGATTCCGAGAGACCTATTGTCGAGAGACCTGTTGCTGAAAAACCTGTTTCTAGAGACATGTTTCTGAGAGACCTGTTTCAAAGAGACCTGTTTTTGGGAGACCCGTTTTCGAGAGACCAGTTCCCGAGAGATCCATGCGTGCTGAGAGACATGTTTCCTAGATACCTGTTATCGAGAGACTTATTTTCGAGATACCTGTTTCTAAGAGACATGTATTTGAGAAATATGTTTCCAAAAGACCTGTGGTCGAGAGACCCGTGCGTGCAAAGAGACCTATTTCCACGAGACCTATTTTTGAGAGACCTGTTGTCCAGAGACCTATTGCCAAGAGACCCGTGCGTGCCGAGAGACCTGTTGCCGAAAGACCTGTTTCTGAGTGACTTGTTTCTGAGAGCCCTGTTATTGAGAAACCTGTTGCCAAGAAACCCACGCTTGCAGAGAGACCTTTTTGCCGAGAGACTTATTGTCGGGAGCCCTGTTTTTTACGAGAGACCTGTTGCCGAGATGCCTATGAGTGCCGAGAGACCTATTGCCGAGAAACCTGTTTCCGAGAGACCTATTTTCGAGAGATTGTTTTCGAGAGACCTATTGTCGAGAGACCATTTTCCGAGATACCTATTTCCTAGAGACCTGTTTCTGAGAGACCTATTTACGATGGATCTGTTGCCAAGAGATCTGTTTTCGAGAGACATGTTGTTGAGAAACCTGTTGCTGAGAGACTTGTGCGACCGAGAGACCTGTTGCCGAGTGACCTATTGTCCAAGGGACCTGTTTATGAGAGGCCTGTTTTTGAGAGACTTGTTGTTGAGGGACCCGTGCGTGCCGAGAGACCTGTTGCCGAGAGACCTGCTTCCGAAAGACTATTGCTGAGAGACCTAATTCTGAGGGACTTTTTATCAAGAGACCAATTGTCGAGAGACTTGTTGTCCAGAGACCTGTTGCCGAGAGACTTGTTTCTAAGAGACCTTTTTTCGAGACACCTATTTCGAAGAGACATGTTTCCGAGAGACCTTTTGCCGAGAGACCTGTTGCCAAGAGACCCGTGCGTTCCGAGCGGCCTGTTGCAGATAGACCTGTTTTCGAGTGACCTATTTTCTAGTGACTTGTTGCCGAGAGACCTGTTTCTGAAAGACTTGTTTTCGAGAGACCTATTGTCGAGAGACCTGTTGCTGAAAGACCTGTTTCTGAGAGACCTGTTTCAAAGAGACCTGTTTTCGAGAGACCAGTTCCCGAGAGACCAATGCGTGCTGAGAGACCTGTTTCCTAGATACCTGTTACCGAGGGACTTGTTTTCGAGATACCTGTTTCTAAGAGACCTGTATTTGAGAAATATGTTTCTGAAAGTCCTGTGGTCGAGAGACCTGTGCGTGCCAAGAGACCTATTTTCACGAGACCTATTTCTGAGAGACCTGTTGTCTAGAGACCTATTGCCAAGAGACCCGTGCGTGCTGAGAGACCTGTTGCCGAAAGACCTGTTTCTGAGAGACTTGTTTCTAAGAGCCCTGTTATTGAGAAACCTATTGCCGAGAAACCCACGTGTGCGGAGAGACCTTTTTGCCGAGAGACCTATTGTCGGAAGCCCTGTTTTTGGCGAGAGACCTGTTGCCGAGATGCCTATGAGTGCCGAGAGACCTGTTGCCGAGAAACCTATTTTTGTAAGACCTATTTTCGAGAGATTGTTTTCGAAAGACCTGTTGTCGAGAGACCATATTCCAAGAGACCTATTTCTGAGATACCTATTTACGATAGACCTGTTCCCGAGAGATCTGTTTTCGAGAGACATGTTGTTAAGAGACCTATTTTTGAGAGAATTATTGTCAAGAGACCTATTTCCGAGAGACTTGTTGTTGAGGACCTATTTTCGAGAGACTTGTGCGTGCCGAGAGACCTGTTTCTGAAAGACCTTCTTTCGAGAGGCTTGTTGTCGAGAGATCTGTTGCCGAGAGACCCATTTCTGAGATACTTATTTTCGAGAGACCTATTGCCGAGAGACCTATTGCGGAAAGACCTTTGGTAATGCAAAACACACCAACCGACTTGAAATCGGCTCGTCTTCCTCCTCCTCGCCGGTAGAACGCCGCGTACCTGCAATGAGCTCTCACACCAGGGGGTTTTTTCGGTGAAGAGCCTCCGATGCTTAAGTAAGTATCTGTTTCACTCAATTCTCCAAAGTAAATAATAGATAAATTGTAAGTAACAAGAAAGGCTCACTCCTATATATATAGGAGTGAGATACCTGCCCTGGGAGCTGCCCAGATCTGATGAGCTGTCCTTCCAGCGCTGCCCGTCCGTACACACACAGTGTGCGTGTGTCAGAGGTGGCTATCGCCGCTATCGCTCTGCACCAATGTACTCTCGCCACGTGTCCCTCTGAGCAGAGGGTGATTATTCTTCTGCATATTCCGTTGGGATTTTCTGACGAAGTCCACGCGCTCTCTCGCGTCCAAGCCACGTCCTCAATTGCTCTTCACCCGTCGAGTGCTTGATATGACTGAGCCCCCTTTCGCTAGGTCGATCATCGACCAGATTTGCTATCTTGTTCGATCACTTCCCTTTTGGCCGATTATTGCTCGACCAATGCGGTTTTCCCGACGTCAAGCTCGCACGATCAACATGGTAAACTGGTTTATTCTTTAGGCATATAATATCCCATATCATCTAGTCCCCCCCCACTCTGGTCGAGTTTAAATGACTCGATCTAAGAGTGAGCTTGTGTCTGCCCCTTCGATCTGTTGACTTTTCGACCCTCTGACGGGATTTGATCTCCCCTCTCGATCATTTGGCCAGTTTTGTAGTGCATTCACAGCCGCCCTTTGTCTCCTTTTACTCTTAATGTTGTTTCCATTTGCCACGCGTCCCTTTTGTTCAGTACTTTTAATCATCGCGTCTTCTCGCGATTTACGCCGCTTCGTGGTCTGTGCCCTTTAAATGCTCCCAACCATTAGATCTTCCTTTTATCCAACGGCTATTTCCACTAACTTTTCACCTTATTCCCCTATACTCCTATAAATACAGTACTTAGTAAATTTTTTTGGCTTTTCTCACCTTTGCAATTCTCTACATACTTGTGCCCTAATTTCTTTTTCTGCAAACTGTGCTTTCTTGCTCTCGACATTTTCGCTCCATCGGCTTCAAGCTTTTTCCGGCGACCCCTCTCTACTGCGACCATGAGTAAGTCTCCTACACTTTAATTTTGCATTTGCTTGCACTTATTTTGTCAATTTTTGGTTTTTTTCGTTGATTCTTCTTTTCCAAAACCTCCTCGTTTCGCCTGTGAAGAAACACCCTTTTTCGCCTTCCAAAACCCTAACTTCTCTCCTTTTCCTCTTGATTTTCCTTTCTTCTACTTTTCAGATTCCGTCGATTCTAACGCACAAAGCCATCATTTTGGTGAAGATGCGACTGCTACGTCGTCATTCCCCACTCGTCTACCTGTTCCTCACTTGCCTTCCTGCTCTGTTGAGGAAGTCTTTGATCTCGTTCCTCTTAACTTTTATGCCCCTCCAATTACTCGACATCACCTCCTTCTCCTCCCCCTCTGCCTCGTCGTCTGATCGATGAATCAGACGATGATGCTCTTGACCATACTCCTCTCATCCGTCGCCGACCAGCATTTGGGGCTTCTGATGCTGCTGAGGCGGCTCTCGACGCTGCTGAGGCTGCCGCCGAGGAAGATGAGGATGGCGTTCCCCTCTCTCATCATTCTGTCTTCGCCAAAGCTGTTTCCTCAAGTTACCCTAAGAAAAGTGCTCCCTCTCGATCCGGAGTAGAATCTTCGACCACTCCTGCTTAAAAAATCCAATCTGATCCTGTTATTGCTTCTCCTAAGCCGGCCAAAAAGAAAAAGTTAGTCAAGGCTTCCGCCTCTAATCAGGTCCCTTCTCATCCTCTCATCGCCGGTTGGTTGGACGTTGATGAGGTCGGCCACCCGGCTAAGTGGGCTTTTGTATCCCCTATCCCCAAGGATACATATGACCGTCCTCCCAAGGATTGCTATACTTTTTTCGAGATTCAATTTAAACTTGGTATCCGTTTCCCTTTATGCCAAGATTTGATCGACATTTGTAAGTGGTTTGAACTGCCCTTGAACCAGCTTCCTCCTAATGCTATCCGATTCATTACCATCTTCATCATCCTTTGTCACGTCTGCCTGGGTCGACTCGACCTAGACTTCTTTCATTACTGCTATGCCCCTTCGAAACACACTCAAGGGCTCTACCTCAAAGGCCGTGCCGATATCCACTTTATCTCGGACATCCCTTTGAATGTCCCTAGGTGGAAAGATAAGTTCGCCTTTAAAGATGATCCAGGTATTTTTTGTTGAATGTTTTCAAGTGTTGGCCTCGCTTTTATTTTTGCACGTAATTTATTTATTTATTATTTTTTTTCTTTTTGCAGAGATGCCTACTATCTCTGTGCCCAAGAGGAAAGCTCCTTTGAAGAGGAAGCAAGCCGTTGAGAGGTCGAGCTCGAAGCCCGCTGACTCGACCACCTCTCAATCCGGCCGCTTGACTTCACTACCCCTGGAGCTAATCGTCGACAAACCATCCTCGACCAACCTTTATGTCGACCAGCAACCCGAGCAATTAGAACAGCTCGAGCAACCGGCATCTCCTCGACCACAATCTCCCCCGCACGACCAGACCACTCCGGTCGTTCACATACCTTCTTCTTCTGAGAAGACTCTGCTTGAGGAGAGCCAACTCAAGCGTCCCCCTGTTGAGGGGAATGAAGGAGCTAAGAAGCATCGCCGCCTCCAGGAAACTGCCGCCTCTATCACTACACTCGACGGCATGAGAGTGTCGTCCTTCCTTAGGGACGTTCTCCCTTCAATCGACCTTCCTACCGACCGCTACAATAACGGTCGTACCCTTCATGACCGAGGCGATCGTATCGCCCGATGGCTAGTTCAGGTAACCCCTTATAACTTAATGAATGTCTACTTTATATTACTTGTTTCTATTGGTTGCGCTCTAACTCTTCCTTTTATGTGTCCTTATAGGGAATGGTCGAGCTTGCGCCCCTGATCGAGCAAACTTTAGCCAGCTTGAGCCGCTCCATCCCTACAATCGAGCGTGGATCTCTCCTCCTTAGTGACCGGGTGAGTGAGCTAGTTGTCAAAGGCCACGCGCTTCAGACGAGAATAAAGGAAGCAGCCGCCGAGGCTAGGGCTCTCACCTCTGAGAAAGAAATGCTCAAGGGGGCCCTTAAGTCCTTTGAAGAGGTGCTCGCTGCCGAGCGAGCAGAGAAGGAGGCCCTCAAGGCTGCACTAGAGGCCGATGGGGCTAAATAGAAAGCTCTCGACACTGCGCTCGAGGAGGAAAAGGCGGCTCGAGCACGCGAGAATGTTGCTTTCGAGCAAAGAGCCAAGCCTCTAATCGATGAGGCTTCTCTCATAGCGTGGAGGATGGTTTTTCACACCACCGCGGACCAGCGGTTTCTACAAGGATATCGCGAGCAAGTGGTGACTGCCTTCAAGCAGTCACCACAATATCTAAAGGATGTGCAGGCGTATGGCACCGACTGCTTTGGGGCTATCATGCAGCAGGCGGGGGCCCAAATAGCGGAAGACGACTTTGAGGAGTTCAATATGGAAGCTATTTGAGATGCAATGCCCAAGGTTCCCGTCGGCTACCAAAGTGCCCTCGATTTTCCTGACGACCACGAATGGTGGTCAGGCCTCCTCGAGCATGTCGTGGATGGTGACGATATGCTGAGGCAGAACTTCAAGTTGCCCGACGGTTATATCCCTCCTTCTGCTCGTCAAAACCCGTTATGCGATGGGACTGGGTCGGCTTCTGGCTCAAGTCAGCCGATTGAGCCAGCACATCAGCAGCTCGAGCTACCTCTAGAGCAAACTCCTAGTGGTGCCAATTCTAATGCTGAGCAGACTTCACAAGATCCCTCTAATGTCGCGATGTAAAGTTATTGTAATTTTAATTTTTGTTGAATGCTGTAGTCTTTACTTTTTGAATGAATGAATATTATTTCTGCTGAAGCGTATGGAATTTTCCTGTTACTGTCCCTTTGATGTGTCTGTTGGTGTGTTATCCTGTGAATTGCCATTATTATCGGCAAGCTTATGTTGTCGTTATGTTTCGATGTCATGTACATCCATTGAAGTCACCCCATTAATCTCCTTGATTAATCACAACAAATTAGTTAATCACAATGACTTAAATGCCACTAGACGCATGTCCACCCTCAAAGGGATGGTCGTACGTGCGACCATCCAGCCTCTCGGCCTTAGTAATGATAGATTTTTTGTCTTCGAGCACATGTCCACCCTCAAAGGGGTGGTCGTTTTCATGCGACCATCCAACCTCTCGGCCTTAGTCATGATGGATTTTTGTCTTCGAGCACATGTCCACCCTTAAAGGGGTGGTCATTACATGCGACCATCCAGCCTCTCAGCCTTAGTCATGATGGATTTTTTGTCTTCGAGCAGCCAGTTGTCGCACGACACCATATATGCAAAGTAAGATAAAGCAATAATTAGACAAGGTATTGAAACTTGCAAATGAGATTCCATTAATCAGAAACTGAGAATTCGATTACATCGTTTTCGTGAAAAATTTCCAACAAAAGAAAAGGGAAAAAAGAAAGGAAAATTTAAACATAATATTTCTTCAAGTTAGCCACGTTCCATGACATGGGGAGTGATCTTCCTTCAGCGTCTTTTAGCAAGTATGCTCCTCCCGCATGAACCTTCTCGACCAGGTCTGGTCCTTCCCGGTTGGGCTCGAGCTTGCCCATATGCTTCAGTACGTCCACCCTTTTCCGGACCAGGTCACCCACCTGGAACCTTCTGACTTTCACCTTTCGGTCATGTGCTGCTCGCATTCTTTGCTTGTATGCCTCAACAGTGATCGAGGCACGTTCTCGAAGTTCTTTGATTGTGTCGGGTGCCGCCATCATCAAGTTCTCGTTCTGTTCTGGATCATATGTGCTCGATCTCTGGGATTAGACCTCGATCTCGACCGGGAGTAGTGCCTCCATGCCATAAACCAGACTGAATGGTGTTTCTTCCATGGTCGACCTTGGCGTTGTTCGATACGCCCAAAGTACTGAAGTGAGCTCATCAACCTATGCGCCCGACGCCTTCTCCAGTCTAGTTTTCAGACCATTCTGCAGCACCCCGCTACTTAGGGCCAATTTTTCGCAAATTCTACCTTCGAAAATGCTTATAAATTTTTGAAATCATTTGCAAACTAACTCGGGATGCTGCTAAAACTTATCTGCTTTAAAACCCGTTCTCTTTTAAATTAGGTCTAACGACTGGTTTAGACTTTAAGAAAAATAGATTTAAATCTTTTATCGAACATGCATATTAAACTGGTCCCGTTCGTACTGGTGAACTGGGTAGATTATTTAAGTCTGAAAAGTACTGTCATGCAAGTTCGAACAGAAAATAAACGTAGCGGAAGTCTTAAAATGCGTGGCATAATAGTTATACAAAACAAAGTAAACAAATGTCCACGAATCAGCTAGCTGTGCTCGATCCACGACCACAACCACCACAGCTGGACTCACGCCTGCTCGCCGACCCTGTCATCTGAAAAACATAATGGGGGTGGGTATTGGTCCTCTTGTACTCCATAACAACCCAGGCTAAAGTAAACAACAATAATAATAATGATATCACAGTACTGGTATGT